TTGTAATTAGTAAATTAGAACTTTATTGTTTAAATTATTTGAATGAAGAATAAAAGTGATATGACGGTTTCAAGTTATCTTGTTACTAAAATAGTTAAATCTTTGATTAGGAAATAGAGATAATCAGAAGGGGTTTTTGTGGAGATTTAGTATTTGCATAGTTGAAAGCATGAGTCAATTGAAGCTAGACCATCAAGGAAAACCTGGGGGTTCTATTGTGGGGCTCCTCAGCAGTGCGCATCCATGACATCACCCCGCGAGATTCGAACCCAGGACCTACCAATCCCGCGCCAGAGCACTTTACTGACTCATGCTTTCAACTATGCAAATAGACATAAATTTTTTTTCTCTTAAGATAGGAAATGCTAACAGTATGAAAAAAACAAACAACAAACAAATCTTACTATATTTGATAGAAATCTGAAAACTTGTTATGACTTAGATTTTGAATTGTCAACAATAAATAATCAACGAATTTGTTGTATAGGTTTAGGTAAGGATTTTATTGTTGTTGTTGAAACAATGATGGACAAGAAAATATTTTATAAATGGTTCTATTTCAAAATTGGACTTCTAGTAATCCATTTTTATTTGTTTTATTTAGATTTTGTAAGTAGATGAAAATAACTAGTGATTTTGAGTCATTTACAACGTAGGACTAGGCACACATATGCATCGGTCCAAGTTACCATATCTCGTTAGTACAATAAGATGAACACCGAATTCATAGAAGTAGTTAATTTAGTGATGGTAATATATATAAGAAAGCTTGTATATAAGGATATAGTACAGGAAGAAAGAAAGAAATGAAGCAATTTTAATCTCAAGGCTTAAGGGAAGACAGAAAGTGTATACACCTACGCCATTGTCATCGATTCTGAGCCATGTCACACAGAGTCTCCAACCATTGGTTACGATAGTCACGCGGACCCCAACCAGGTAGTCTGGATCTGCCAACATGGCTCAGACTAGAAGTTAGTGACTTCAAACACTGATGCCATGTTTTGGTTTGGCCGCCCCTAACTCTCTTCCAACCATCTCCTAGACTAGTCAACATTGCGCGTCGTGGTAATCGATGTTCAGGCATACGTAACACGTGGCCCAACCATCTCAGTCGATGAAGATTCATCACCTCATCAACTGATTTACCATCATTCCCTAATACCCTGAGTCTAACCTCACTATTACTTACCCGGTGATCCCAGTAGATGCAAACAATATTTCTAAGGCCGATCTTCTTTCGTCACTCGGATGTAGTTGTATGTGCTGTTTCGATAAAAAAATGTGTTACGAACAGTCAAGAGAGTAAAGTCAGTAAAACAATACCAGTGATTTTGGTGTAACTCATATCGTTTTACTGATCTTACTTTCTTGACTATTCGTAACACGTTTTTCTATCGAAACACTACATACAACTAGATCCGACTGAAGAAAGAAGATCTTCAAATGTAAACCTATTTCACATGAAAAAAAGTCAGAAATCGTATCACTGATTTTTACAGACTTATTTAGTGTTCATTAATGGTTATCTGTCGAGTAAACTTCAAGTAAATGGTACTCATTGCTTAATAAACGATACCTTAACGTCTTAGTAATATCCGAGTTTCTACTTCTGATACTTGACCATCAGAAACCACTACGATTCCTACGACGAATAGTAAGAACATGAAAGAATGATGCAATAAATATTTACCTACTCCCAATATACCGATTTTACATAAACATATAAATCAAAAGATACACGGGGTTACAGTAAAACGTACAAAGTTCATACAGACTAACGTAGGTAATATAATTATCACATTGGAAGTAACTTCTCACCTGTCATATTAGACAAAATTTACACTGAATTAGTACGAAACATATTGACCTGAGATAATGTTACATTGGAGAAATATAAACTCAGTATCGACTAAAGTGTTACGCTGAGGTTAAAAGTATTACTAAAATGTCATTGTGAATAAAACTAATGTCATGACATGTTATAATAAGTAAGAGAAAAATATAAACTTGCCTACTACTCTCAACTTATCAGTCTCTGATTTACTATTGTAGTAATAGTAAAATCATCATAATCAATATGTATCACTGATTTAATTAATTTCTTCACTACAAGAAATATTAGCACCAACGGAATTTACAGTTCTGTCTATGATCAATTGAATATATAACAACAAATCATATGATATTGGTGTATGTTTGTTCTCTGAGCTGGATGGTTTTGGTCAGCTCAGAGAACAAACCTACAACAAAATCATCCACCTGAGCTACAAATCTTCTCAACCATCTCAAAATCATATGATATTTTGTGAAGGACAATATATTACTCGGGTGTACAAAGAAAAGTTTAACAATATAATATATCAAAGAGTAGTTACATTAAAAGAATAAATGAGTATATTTTGTTGATTTAGCCTCATCAACATGTTTTCTAAGGCTTCGTGACTATTAATAAAATCCTTATGACTATTATTATTACTATTTATTATCATTATTTATCACTACTACTATCATTGGTAGTATTATTATCTAAGGTCAACATTGATGACTAATCTTATTGTGTTGATCTGTCAGTATACCACAAATTGTATAAATAAAGCTTAAGAAATTAACAATAACTGTAAATAGTTTGTTATTCAAAATATTTATATAATTTTAAGTAAATAAAGGAAATTTAAAGGATAAACAAATATGTACTATCATGGTTACAATTAAACGTAGAAATTTATTTCTAAAAGTTTGGAACAATGAGACATAGACAAACAAGTCGTTAGTGTAGACAAAAATTTTGAAGCTTTAAAAATCAAAGTCAACTAGAAAGTCACTTCTGGTAATAATGAACTGATTGAAGAAGCACTAATCACTTTCTACAAATTTTGATAGTAACAAAAATGCTCAGATGTAACATTATTCCCTAAATCACTGAGTTATGTAAAAATAGGTTATTTAATTAACATCAATTCTCAAGATACTACATTTATCTCTAATCCACAAGAATACTTTCAGATAAGATTAAACATAAATTATAAACTTTGATAGTACTGAAAATAGTTTTCAACACAGTCAGACGCTGGTTGAAGAATCACTGATAATCAGGAGTACTAAAAGGATATTTTGTCCTAGTACGCAACTCCTCGGCAGTGCTCACCTACAAGCCCAAGTAGTATTGTTTCTACGACTTACTGGTCTCACAATGAGCTTAGCATATTTTGATTTTGGAGTCGAAATTGAATCGTTCATATCCCTAACTATCTAGAGTAATCTATAATTTTGTGCTTTACACCAGACTAGATTAACTTTGTATATCAGAACTTACCACTTGAATTAATACTGCTTTGAAATAAGATGCTAACGAGTCCACTGAGTTCAACACTAATCTCAGTAACAAGTTCGAATAGCAGAATTAAGAATAAATCTCTGTAGACAGTCTAAAGAAGATTCAAGAAAGGAAGAACAAGAATACAGAAGTTAATAACAGTCGAACAAGAACAAGGAAAGTTAAGACACATGCCGAATACACTGAAGCAAACAAGCAAGTGAGGAGGAGAATTGAGGCTAACAAGTAGAAATACGTAGAAGACCTAGCAACGACAGAAGAAAAAGCTGCAACAGAAGGAAATATCAAACAACTATACGACACAACACAGAAACTAGAAGGGAAATATTGTAAACCAGAAGGACTGGTCAATGACAAACAAGATAAGCCAATCACTGAGACTGAAGAACAACGGGACAGGTGGGTAGAGCACATTAAAGAACTCTTGAATAGACAGACCTCAATGAACCCACCGGACATCGAAGGAGAACGCACAGACCTTTCTATAGCTACCAGTAACAAAAAGAGTTTTTATTAGAGTGTTATTGAAGCGAGATTAAGAATCCGGGTTGCGTAACGACCGATCATGTACCAGACAAGCTGTAACAGTAAGGATTAGTTTCGAATGATCAGTTGAATGAAACATCGATATGCATCAACTTCTTTGATTATGAAGAAGCATTTGACAGAATGGATAAGAGAACCGTGTGGAATATTCTTCAACACTACAGAGTGCTGGATGAGATCGTTATCATCATGAAGAACTACTACGAACTTAACTGCGGAGTCGTTCATGAATGGTAGCACATGTATCCATCCAAGTAAAGAGTGGTGTCAAATAAGACTGAGTATTCTTACCCTTTTTTTCAGGTTTTCGATTGGATTATGAAGACACCTCTGTCTCAAAAAGCACAAAATACAGTGAACCCCTTGGAAACAACTGCATGACCTGAACTTTACGGACGACTTACCCTGTTATTCTACATAGTAACCAATTCAGACGATGACTGGCACCGTAGCGGTAGCTTCTACAGAAGTAGACCTCAACATTCACAAGGGAGAAAGTGAAACCCACAAGTACAAAACAGTGAGTGCCAAACAAATCACACCTGACGACAAGTGAGTGCGCACTGCTAAACAGTTCCATACTAGGAAGGACAAGTTGTCCAATATTTTTTGGTTTTTTACTATTTGCTCAACTAACACTATTTCACAATGCTAACAATGATATTCATTATTCTCCACAACATATGTAACAATGAATTATTTGTACACCCTAAAATTCATTTTCTCCAATAAACCAATAAGATCCATAACCGTTTTAAATGTTACAACGATTGGTTTAGAGATTTTTAAAAAAAACCTGTTTTTCTCTCTCCCTATTCATCATTTAACCTTGAAATAAACTTGCATTAGAAAGTCTATAGAATAAGTAAATTTACATACAAATTTATGAACACATATACAACACATACTTCATTTCATCAAAATGGATTAGTGATAACGACTTATTCTAGTCTCATCTATCAGTTTAATTAACCTGAAACTCATCTATTCTATAATATGTTTATATCATGAATTATATATGATATAAAATTACCTCAATTTAAAACTTCATCGGTAAATTATTTATTAAGCAAATAGATTGTGGACATAGAAAATTATACAAAATCAAATCTATTCAATGAATAATCTTGAACAAAATAACAAAGAATATTTGGATCCATTCAATTGTAATACAGTAAGTATTTGAATTTTTTTCTTAAGATTAAAATTTGCTCTTTTTTTCTTATTATCATCTTATCAATTTTAATTGAGATCATGAACTGATAGATGTTAGACCTAACAATTTCCACAACCCTATACTGATATTATGAGTTGTTGCATGGAATTACAGATCGTAAGATTTCATCGATATGATGGACGAAACGGCCGTCTAATGCTTCCAGGTTTTCAATGGTGGTCTAGCTTCAATTGACACATGATCTCAACGATGTAAAATTATACAATTGTTAATATTCTCCTGTGGAATATTTCCATTACCATTGTTGTTATTATTACCGTTATTAAACTGACATAGACTATCTGTACTTCGTAGAAAATCAACTAATACTCATGTATATGACACAATTGCTTAAATAATTATAGATATGTTAAGAGACTTGGATATAACCTGAGTGTATTATACTCTTTCTAATGAAAAGTTATTTACTTCCAGCATAACTGAACAAACGTGAAGTTAAGACAATGAACACCTCGATAATAACTCATTTATTCCAAACTACCCATAAAACCAACGACGATCAGTTTAAAATGTTCTTGCACGTTAATAGTGATGTACTAGAACGGTTAGGTGTAGAGTCCTTCAAATGTAAGAAGTAAGAATTATAGGGGTTAAAATTCGAAACTCTAAGTTCAAAAGGAACAAGTTCAATTTCTTATATAATTCTGACCATTTTCAGAGCCAATTAGTAGTATTCTCAACTAGAACATAAACTAGCCTCCCTACCATAAACTCATAACTGAAATCTACTTGATTCAGTTTCTATTTTACTGAATAATTTGTGAAAACAACTAATGTAAAGACGGTTTTTTCATGGATTAACACTAACTGAGGAATTATTGGGGAATCAAACAGCATTTAGTAGCTGCGTTTCCCAAGTGTAAGAACTCTTGACAGTATAAACTCACAATTCCTTAGATGATTTAACTCAGGACCTCCAGTTAACATAGAGAGCAGATCATCTAAATACCACCGAATTGGAATACAATAGTTCTCATTTTCAACCTGCTCTATTATTATACATTTGAAAGATTTATTTGAAACTCATCTCATTTTAACATCACTCAGTTCACATCATTGCATCATATTTTATAGAATGCTCTGTCTGGTTATCATCAAATTATTGATTATCTCTTTTAACGATGTCCATATTTATTCGGTTTCATAAAATTATCATAGTTGAAAGCGTGACTCAATTGAAGCTAGACCACCATAGAAAATCTGGAAGCATTGGACGGCCGTTTCATTCTATTGTGGGACTCCTCAGCAGTGCACATCCACGACCTCGCCTCGCGAGATTCGAACCCAGGACTAAATCTCCACAAAAACCCCTTCTCATAAAATTATGATTTTTATGATATCTATGGCCTGACTCAAGCATATATTTGTAGTAGTCATCAGAGTTTAAGTATTCTAACAAACTTATTTTAACAATTGTGATGTAGTTCAAGATTGTAACTTTATCGAAAAGCTATACGCTGAGTTTTTATTCATTAGTTGGAACACAGTCATCGCATTGAGAAAACTGAAGGTTATAAGCTATGCCTTTGGGAAGGTAGTGAGTGTGAAATATTCCAGAGTCGTAAACCAGGTTTGAGCAACTATCCAAGCCTCCTTGGTTTCCAATGATCCCCTGGTTGGAGTCGAATTATGGAGAGGACAATCTTCAAGTAATTTAAGCATACGACTGTTTTAAAATAATTACTTATTTAGTCTGAGATTTTCTATGATAGTATCAAATATAACTTATGATCGAATTGGTGTTAATGTTAGTTTAAACGTTGAGAGTGGTATGACAGATAAGTGTGATAGATAATCGGTTGCCTTATTAATGTCATTTTCATCTTTAAAGAATGAATGATTATTTAATCATTCATTCTTTAACAAACCTTAAAATGTTGGTTACATACTCTCTCTCTCCCCATCTATAACTTTTGATTTCCGAATGAAAAGGATAAATTGATCAGCAGTTCCATCTTATGGTAAGTATTCATTTAGGGTTTAGAAATTGCTTCTTCAATTGAATTATTAGTACTACCATTGAAGTCATTCCAGTACAATTATCAAAACAGTTAAGCTGACGTAACAGAAGATATCCTCAAACTGAATTGTATTATTTCAACAACGAAAAGTGGCGACTGAATATATTTGTAAAATACTAATGTTAAGTGCTTATTCACACACTTGTGTAATAAGTTTGCTGTTATATGTCAATAGTGTTGACTTTTCAATGAAATATAGAATGACGTCTTTAGCCCCTATGCTAGGACATCTCAATAGTCTCACTTAAAAATCAAAAGATGCCTTATCGAGCTAAAACCAATTAAAAAATTAATTTTCATATGGTATTCACAGTAATGAAATAGAGTCTTACTCGGTCAGTCCGTTACAAAATAGGACCGGACACGTATATGTATCGGTCCAAGTCGCCACACCTCATTAGCATAACAAGATGAAAACCGAATTCATAGTAGCAGTTACTTCAATGGTAGTAAAAAATTAACATTTCATATAAGGATATGATACACGGAGAGAAAACTAATTAGTAGAAAGAAAGGTATTAAGCAATTTTAATCTCAAGGTTTAAGGGAAGATAAAGAGTGTATACACCTACGCCATTGTCATCGATTCTGAGCCATGTCACACAGAGTCTCCAACCATTGATTACGATAGCCGCACGGACTCCAACCAAGTAGTCTGCATCTAACAACATGGCTCAGATTAGAGGTTAGTGACTTTAAGCTCTGATGCTACGTTTCGGTTTGGCCGTCCTCAACCTTCTTCCAACCATCCCCAATACTAGTCAGTATTGTGCGTCGTGGTAACCGGTGTTCAAGCATACGTTACACGTGGCCCAACCATCTCAGTTGATGAAGATTCATGACTTCATCAACTGATTTACCATTATTCCCTAATACCCTGCTTCTGACTTCACTATTACTTATTCGCTGATCCCAGCAGATGCGAGCAATATTTCTAAGACATCTGTGATCAAATACTAATAACTTACGAGTATCTTCTATTCTTAATGGCCACGTTTTGCAGCCGTAAAGTAGAGTCTCACTAACTTAAGTTGTAAGTTCAAGTGAAACACGGTAATAAAAAAGTAACTATGATGAATGATGATTGAAAAACTTATGATGAGTATCACCAATCTGGGTACCACTTATAATTATAATAAGATTTATGATGTAAGCGAATGATTTCATTCTAAAGATAAATATTAAAAAATCCGCTTTACTTTTTAATGATAAATACTTTATCTCCATGAGTTGAATTGAGAATAGCTAACTAGGTTGCAACTGAAAAACAGTACTTTCCGGCACTTGTTGATTTTTTTTCAGGTTGAAAGTAGTACATATTACATCGGACCTGTTGACTTAAAAACGCAATCAATATTCATGAAAGCTAGAATAGATCCAGAAGACAGTAAATTTATGAGTATTTGTGAAAGCTTAAGAAGACGATTCAACTTAAAACGACTTGGGTTATCCCGTTGTTGATATTCTGACTGAAGTTTGATCGGTCTTACTTGGAATATGGGCATCTTGTGCAGAGTGCCTCTATATAGCCACTATGACACAAGTTATTATAGAACAGATGCTAGTCACATTCCACCTACTCTCTATTTGAGAAGACACCTGTATTGTCTTTAAATTCAGTAGTAGTTAGATTGACATTAAATTGTGTTGAGAACTGTTATACCGTCTTTACTCGATCGACTGAAGCTGTCAAGCTAAAAGTTGACCGTCGAAACTAGTCCAAAAAAATAACCGACCGAATATATCGTTAAAAAGTTTTTCACTTAACGTAATGTGACTAAGTTACTCATTAAATAGATAACTACCAACGAAAAGTGAGTGTCACGAAGTAACCAATGGATTTCCAGTTCTATCCATTTAAACAAAAACCTCTTTCCTACGTTTTTCATTGTCCATTTTATATAATGTATGCTAACCGATTTTATCTTATTTATCACAGGATTCTTCCCCTTTCTCCAAACCAAGTCCTTTAGAATGTTTACAAAAGTCATGCAATAATATTTTAAAGAATATAAATCCCTTGCCATACTATCAAATTCTGAATGAAGTTTCTCATAAGCTGAGTAGCAGTCTTAATTATTTTGCTAATTACTCATCAAACTACTCTTGGCTTAAACAGAAACGTAGTACAAAATTACGTCATTACAAATCCCCGAGTTCTTATTTATTTCCATTCCCGATCGCATGCAGTTCATCGAAACGTAATTTGGTTAGATCCAAGCATACATTTAGAAACGTTTTACATTCAAAGAAGCTAAATTCAACATTGACAAATTGTAACATTCGAACAAATAGATCTATTCACTCGAAAAATAAAACTTTAATGGATGATAAAATTGTTCCGAACGATCCAACAAAAAGTGGTAAGTTCTTATCTTCTTCAAACAAATCAATAACTCAGCTCACAACTGAATCTCCTCAAATTAGTGATTCGTCAACTCTAAAACTATGCTCAACACAATCAGTGGCAGTGTCATCTTTCAATGCTAATTCATCTATTTTAAATGGAAATTGTACATGTACCATCTGCAATAAAATACAACTGTTCAATATCTTATTAACTTCCTGGAGTGCAGTGATTAACTTTATTCACAATTTACAATCTAATCTGAATTTAAATTCAAATGATATGAGTATAAATACTACTAACGATTTTGTTTATAATTTAGAGAATTTACTAAAACAAAATAGACCGATTATTACTGAGTCAGATGCCCTGAACAATTCATTTACATTACCAGTTAATAGTCAGAATGATTCTAAAGATTCTAACTTAGAAGACGATAACTGCGATTCATAATGTACCTTTCAAATAAATTCACCAAATAATTGAATGGAAAGAACAGAATTTCAAATAAAATTACAGGCAGATTTGTATATTTCTTTAGTTAACTGTGATGACTAATTTTTAATATTTACATTGAAAAGTATTAAAGAATAATCTACCCCACATTACCTCTTTTTATAGGCAAATTAACTAGTTTTCTTTTGCAAAAAATACTTTCTTGTTTAAATTATACGTGCTTTGTAAAACTTCTTTTTTTGTTTTCCTGTATCAATTAATGTAACATTCGTGGATTGGTTGAAGTTAGACATTAACACCGTTGGATGCCGGCTCAGTGGTCTATTGGTCAAGTGCACTGGCGCGAGACTGGTAAGTCCTGGGTTCGAATCTCGTGAGGCGGGATCATGGATGCGCACTGCTGAGGAGTCCCACAATAGGACGAAACGGCCGTCCAATGCTTCCAGGTTTTCTACGGTGGTCTAGCTTCAATTGACTAATGATTTCAAGTATACAAAATAATGTAACATTCATTGGAAGATTTATTTATTGGTAAGGGAGAGGAGAATGGTTGATTGTGAAGAAAAATTGTATTACGTCTACAAAATAATCAAATAAATTTCTGTAAAGATATATTCACTTTTGAGATGATTGAATAAATATACAAAAGCCGAAGATTGTAGATGGTTCCTTATACAGGTCACAGTTATAGTAGTGAATTATTAAATTATACATTGAAGTTACTGAAAACTAAGAATTTTACATCATGTATTTATATCTGTTCCATAATTAGTCTTGCGAAAATTATCCCATTCAATTTGTCTAACTAATGAACAATTGTTAATAAATAACAAAGTAATTATATCTAATCCATCCAATACAAATTTTGGCATTTTTAACTTTGTTTCTTTAACAATATACACAATTATACTTTACAATAAATGACGAAAGATGAACCATCTGAGCAAAGAGTAGTTGATCATTTCCAAGGTTTATAGAATTACTAAACTAAAGAAGTTATTATACCTATTTATAATCACCTACTTGTTTATTGAGAAAAGTAAATTGACTTGTATTTGGTGATTTTTATTACCACGTAACATCAGTTGGATGACCGATGACAGTTCTGAAGTAAAAGGCTATTTTATCTGAGTTCGAGACTAATTAGCACTAGGACATATCTAAAACTAAGTGGTTAAATACAACTAACCACGAAAATAATAATCCCAATGGACATAATTAAAAATGTTCTGTACTTATAAGCCACTAAATAATAAATATTTTCACGATATTGTGCAGTCAATTTTGTTCACTTGGTATTATGAATCTGAGTAACTGTTTCTCAATAGTGTTTTACTCTGTAAGTGGGAAACACTAGATCAAGTCATTTAAAAAGTATAAATTAAACGTTACAGATATGCCACACTGATAGGGGTCTCCATATAAAAAAATCTAGGTTTAGTGTTCTTGTATAGCATCTTCAATTATTCACTGCTCTCTCAATTTTCATTTAATATATCGTGTTTTATGAATACCAATGTGTTACAGTTTATTGAGATATCACGTAGTACTTCCCTTTGTAACTTGACGACAAAACAAAAAACATGGTATTAAAACACCACAGTAAAGTGACGTAAATATTATTTGTTGACTCGTGACTAGTAAAAATCACTTCAACTTCTCTTGTCGGTATACCTTTTACGTTATTTCTATCAAAGCAAATAACGTATTTGTAAGTAAACTTAGTCTAGAAACACCCTTCAAATTCAGCAAATATACATATGTATTTATTATTAACACTGGACAATGTCCAGTAGATTCCCCAATGCTAGTCGTCCTGATAAACATTAGCAGATATTTTTGAAGCATTATTTGGTGGGTTTATTTAAAATAAATCACTTAGTTTGGCTTTTACTCCGATTACATTACAATAATATGCTTTAAGCAGGTTAATGTGATTCTTTTTCCTTGGTTAAATTCAACTACTTATGAACATATAAAGCGGATTTGTGAAAAGCTACGATGGAAATGTTTTTTATGTCGATGTTAAGAAAGCTACATTTTACTTGATTTCTAAGCTGTAAATTAAGGTTTGGGTGAAACTGAATATTTGATGTAACAAACATTACTGTTATAAATTATCTCACCTCAATTAAATAATCTAACTACAGTGATTAATTTTGCTTATTGAAAATGGGGAGAGTAGTGAATAATTAAGGTAGTCTGAAGTAGTCACCTTCCCAACAGAATTATTTATTTATTTAAACACATAAATAATGGTACAAGGAAGCACCAGATAAATATGCGCCTCACAAATCTCATTCGATTTGTGTGAGGGCTGTGAAACTGCCCAGACTGAAGTAGGTGGTTTTCTGAGGGGGCCACACCCGGAACCTTTGACCTGAAGGTCTAGTCCACAAGGCAGTGGAGCATCGTAAGGAGATGCAGTTCCATGGTATCCGTTGACCAACAGCAGGTTCATTCGCCATTCGTTCCTTCGGTATACTTGAGCCCATTGGTTTGGAATCAGGGTTTTCCAACTCCCCTAGGTGGACTTTCCGTGTTTACCAACCCAGTTAAAACGCCGGACATTCGCTTTTCGTCCTCTCACTTTTGTGAACAACACCCCCGCCACGAGAAGGCAGTGAGTAGGACTTCCCTGACAGAGGCTATATATTCGCGTAGCCATGTGAGAGCATTTGGAGAGGGAGAGCGGACTCTCCCCACTCTCGGCCGTACCAGGGCATTACAATAAAAATCATTAATTACAAATTAAAATGGTAAAAAATCTTCCCTGAGAATTTACATCATCTCCATTGAAGAAAATCAGACCGAAACACTTAATCAACATAAACAAACAGTGATGTAGAGTAATTGGATGAGATATTTGATATTGAGTAAAATTAAAGTTAACCGAATGTACTAGCCTTCTCAATTTCGTCACATTACCACATATATGGTTCACCTTGTTTGCTCATTTCTCTAAATAAATTCCTTCTTTAGCGAATCTATTATTGATCAGTAATTAATGAGGGGGAGCGAATTCAGTGTATTTATGTACAAGGCCTTATTTATCGAATGCACTAAACTTATCCATTTTCTGGAAAAATTGTGGGACTTTTACTAGGAAACAGAGGCCATAAAGCGTTATATATATAGAGATTATAAGTCAATAAATTAGACTTGTATGCACATTGAGGAATGAAGAAAACAAAATCTTACTGAATTACTGTAGTATATATTAACTTTGAAAGAAGTTAACCCTAGACTTCGTAGAAAAACACAATCGAATCAGTTGGTGAGTACAAATCATTACCAGAAAAGATAAGACTATACTAACGAAAATGGTTATATAACTCATGAAATAACAAAATAATAACCTTCGTTGTCGACTTTAAGGTTTAACAGACCTTTAGGTAACTAAACCCAATCAAAATAAGTAAATGAACACAAGTATGCAGCTGATGTGTCATAAGAAAACAATGCTTTCAATTATGATACAGATTTGCTAGTAGAATGTAACAGTTTTAAATTACATACCGAATCTTTCCTATTTATTGTTCACTGTTTTTATAATGTTTTTTCATCCCCAAGTACCTAGTTTTATGTCTGAGTTTTATTACAACAAGATCAACATACCACATTTACATACTATAAGCATTCATAACTAGTGAAAAACTAAAAATTTGACGGCAATTTCCAACGCCATAGAAGAAATAATAACTTATTTGATCAACAGATGGACTCAATCGCATATCGCAGAAACAATGTCAACGATAAGAAAAGTATTATACACAAAATATGGTTGTAATTTATTTTTATTTTTGTCATTATAAATTCATTTCTTGTATTTGTTACAACAATAGATATTCTATTTAACAGAAGTGATAAAAAAAAGAAATATACAATGTAAAACATAAAATAAACGCATCTAAAGTTTTAATTTATTTAATGCCATACACCAGGTTGATTTGGATTTGGAATTGGAGCTAATTTCTGAAATGGAACTGTACATCCGTGAAGGGACCCTTTAGCTAAACAAGAAGAAAAAAGAAACAAAATAGTCATTAAACTTAAATGATTCTTAATTAGAAGTGAGATAGAAGTTTTATATTGAAAGGTATCTTTTGATTACACAGCTAAATTTTCGCATACATAAATTTACGAATAACTACAGGAAGAATGATAACATTAAGACTGAAACAATTCCACGTATTTTGTGCACACAGTGTTCGCTGATATCTTGTGACAGATGAGAATCAGTACTTTTGGTGAAACAAAAGTTAACTTATCAATAGATTAAGGGTTACCACCAATAATCCGTTATGTCCAATATAACATCTGGTAAATATATGTATCGGTTCAAGTTGTCACATCACATCAGATGAGTAACAAAGATTTACTACCACATCAGCCGATTTCTCATCCTTAACTAGTGCACTGGTTCAAATCCTAGCATTACTCACTCGGTGTTCCTAACACACACGAGGAATGCTTCGGAAGTGTCTACCACTGAATACGAACGAACTACGAATATTCCATATTTTTAAAGACTAGGTTTCACAGCCGTGAAGTCAAACAGAGTGGACTGCTGAACAATATACTCGTCCTTTGGTTGATAGACAAACATTTCGCCTACATCAAAAAATCACATTAGTTGGCAAAAGCTAAACGAGTTTTCTGAATATGTGCCGGGACAGATACACTAAAAAATGTTGTGTTTCATTATTAAGCTTATAATACTTATGGATGTAGACACCAGAATATTACACTTCTAAGTATCTTTTTCTGCAGAATGAGTTCAAGAGAAAAACAACGATGAAGGCTATGTTCATAACAATTACAGTGTACAATAAACTAAATATTGCAATTATCAACTTTACCTAACATTTTTAGACATTTCCTTTATTATTCCTAGAACCCTTTGTTGTTTATTTATTTATTTTTAAAAAAAAAACGATGTAGAGACCCAGAACATACAGTTGTCATGTTTATTTTAAGTTTTTTCATATGGTCCTAACTTTTCTACGTCTACGAACAAGAAAGCCGTTTAGTTAATAAATTAAATCATTCTTTTGAAAATGAAAAGAAGGAATTATGATGCACTTACATTTTTGTAAGCTACAATTTTTACATAATTTCAGATAATTGGCCGACATATACATTTAGAGAATCTACTGTACAAATATTTAATTTAAACTACATAATCTTATTTGCTGGGAACTCAAATAAGACAGGTTTGAGAAGCTATATACTTCTGGTAACCACTGCTTAATGTAGTTAACTATTAAAGGATTCACTTGATAGAATACATCACATTGACCAAAACACGTGTGTGAATAAATATTTTCTGCTGATGATGCATTAAATCTATCGAAACCTCTTACTCACTCTATATATGACAATATATAAAAAAGAACAGGATATATATAATTTTCTAATCCGTAGAAAATTGAATTTCTGGTGTCTCATAACTCAGTGTAAGCCGCTTCTCCACTAGAAATCTACCCAATGCTAAATTATCAAAACAAACCTTGGTAATGATTATCACTGACTAAATAATGATGATTATGTTTTGAGTTTTTATTAAATGAACATTAAGCTGAATAGAAACTTCAGTATATTTATTATATAAAAATAGAAACAATACGATGACACGATTGAATTTCTCAGTATAAAATAAAAAAATCAGTGCATATTCTTACGTAGATTAGTGTTTGACGTTTGTTCAGTATGATCCATAACATGTTCATTTTGTTTGATTTGAGTTGTGGAATTCAATAAACGAATAGGTGAGGCTGATGATGAGACAGATGATGGCTTCAGTGGACCTGAAGAACATGATTTTAATATACAATTTGATAGACTATTTTGTCCATTAGGTATTGTAGCACAACGACTACCGTCTGGACTAATAACTGAAACTGGAAGCCATACACCAAGATAATTAGCTTGCCAAAGCCGTACACAACCATCATCGCCAGACGATGCAAGTAAAGAACCTAATGAATGAGATGAATGTTTTTCCAAAAAAAAAGAAAATTCATTGACTGCAGGTTGGCAAAAGTTTGTGATTGGTGTCAATATTACAATATTTCAAGACAAAATTTAGTGTCGTGATTTATACATTCGACCTATTCTAGGATATTTGTGTATATACGATTTTTCTAATTCACATAAAATCTGGTACAACTGGGCACCAAAAATATAATGCGCTGTACAAACATATCTACATGTGGGCTGGGATACTGCCTGAGCGGCAACACCGAGACAGGTAGTTTTATTGGGGGTCTAATTCTTGAAAATTTGATTAAGACAGTGGACCAATGTCAAACTTGTTATTAACGCCCACATTTCGATTAATATTCTTAGATTTCAAACAAAATCGACGAATGAAAAGGTGGACATATAAACACACAAAAATGTGCTGCAAAATTTTAATGAAGCTACTTGTTACTGATTTGTAAATTGGAAAATTGCATACAATCAAAGAGCATCACATAACTGATCAGTTGGGTTCTTAGATAAACATCTTTTTAACTATAATAAACATTGTTAAACGTTACCAGTTACATTCCAAGAAACATGCCAAACTCGTCCTTCATGATGATCGAAACGTGCCATCATTCTAATTTCATACGGATTACGTATAGGTAGATTCGATCTTGACAATGACAAATTATTAGAACTAGAATTATCATCTATTAAGCAGCAAGAAAAATCGTAGGAAAGTAGTGTTTAGTTATGAAGGTTAATTTAGGGACATTGTATTATTAAATACGCTTTCTTCTAATAAAAGACATTCAAATTTTTTGAAAAAGACGAAGCATTTCTACTGTATGGCTAGTGAATATGACTGACCACAACTTACCGACTATATAATTTGTTTTCCTTTTTACCATTGATTTTCACACTGGACTCGCTAAGTGTAAACTGCTTACAACTGTGTTGAGTAAAGTATTGTTCAGTCTTTATTCTGGTTCTCTATGTTTGGTCATGAATCGTATATCTAGTCTAGCGGTAATATAATATCGGTTACCGGGTGCATTATCATATTAAAGTAGCATATCGTGGCAAGCGGAAAATATTTTAATTATCTCGTTATATAAACTTCCTTATTGTTAATCTTTTTCAAATTAATAGACTATTTTCATTATAGATCAAAATAACAAGTATGAAATAGAAAGTTATAACGCTGAGACTTTAAAAATACTATTCACATCATGTAATTTAACTTATTTACACATCTATATACTCGATTTCAAGCTAGTGATATTAACCGGTTACCTAGACCGAAGTGAAGTAACATTTAAACTTAACCTACTGGTTTAGCCTCTAGTTTACGGTAAATCTCTTGAATGCTGGAGTAGCCATAACTAAATTAAGTAAGGGACAAAAATGCGTCAATTGACATAAGTTTAATAACAACGTTTAGAAAAAAATTAATGGTTAGAATGAAGGGTTCTTTCTCCATAAATGATCATTTAAAATTTATCTAATTTTTTATCATTTTTCATTTTCCTATACATATAAATATACATTGAAAGAAGTGTTAATTTAAAGTGGAATATTTTCAATTGTCGACTAGAAAGAAACAGAAATATAAGTTATCACAAGTTTAAGAAAATTGATGAATTCTAACTAGCAGTGTAGTTCACAATGTGTCTTTCATTGTAACTGGAACTCAGCAACTGAACGTATCTGAATTTCAGTGTTGATAAACCCAGTATCTTTTGCCTTTAACACTCCAAACGGGTAGTCTATTCAGATAGTGAGTTTAAATAGAGAATAGATTGTACAGTCGGTATGGTATTTACATTATTATAAGTTAGGATTTAAATCCTTACCTAAAACGATACAAGCAGTTATTACATTTGATACCATATATTTTTATATCAAAGAATTATTTTGAGCAAGTTGGTGATTAGAAAGGCAACAAAATACATTTATAGAGTTTATTTGTTGCGTATACGTGGCTAAAACGTACCTTTTTAAAAATTTAAATATATTATAATTTGATACTGAACAAATATGATCCATAAGAAAATGGATAAATGAACTTTTCATTATATTTTGATTCCAAATGGTTACCTAACCGAAATTTTTGTCAAACTACCGCTTCCTTAAAAGATTAACGTCTATTATACAGATCGAGACCATAGAATGTACTATTAGCTGGATCAAGTGAATAGTATGTTAATCGAAGTTGTAAGTAATGGTTAACATTTATTTATTTACTTTTGATACAACTAGACAGAAACTGGTGAAATTTAAAGAATTTATGATATTCTTCATAATTTGTTATTTGCACTTGGCTACAACTTATTGACAAATTTAAAAGTATAAACTATCACATGAAGTTATGCAAAATTATATCTCCAGCTCTAAATGATAGTTAAAATGATAAACAGATAGAGTAAGGTATTTTAAAAAGATACTTATGGGCGAACCCAGTTCTTAAAAAACAGTCATGTATAAAAAATGTGAATATTTAACTTACTTTTCATCATTGAACTAGACGACTGATTGGAGTTAAACGGTCTAATTCTTAATATATACAATTCTTTAGATCCAACAGCTAATGTATGATATGATTGACCCATATGTGGAGCGAATGAAACATCGTAAATAGGATCATTCAGTGCATGTACATCTTCCACAAGATACCAATGCCTTCTAACTTCAGAATATTCATAAATGATAAGTTTACCGTTCACTAGAGTATTTGTTGGATGCGTTGTTGAATGAGACATAGAATGATGTGCTGGTAAACTGTCTGAATTATCCGCAGTATCTGGATCATTAGGACTAACGCTGCCAACAGCAATTAAAGGTGGATCAAGACGTGACTAAAAAAATATTGATGAAAATGGACTGATTACTTTAAGAAAAAAAAACAATCTAAACATTTGGATACTAATGAATGTGTGATTATCTATATCTACGACTTCATTTATAACACTATGCCAAATGATGTTAAAATAGCAGCATACATATTGTAACACCATAACTAAATGGAAATTTGTATAGTAAGAGATAGTAATAGTCCCAGAGACTTCCACGTCGTGCATTATTTGCCGACTCTGGGACTGGTTGGAGAAAGCGGAGAGGAGGTCAGTGTATGACATGGTGTCGTGGCATGAAAGAGAGCTGCAAAGGGCTAGCTTCTGTTGGACCTTCACGACTCCGTGGCTGGGGTCCGAGAGATGGTGCAACGCAATGGCTAGAGACGTTATCAGATATGGCTCAGAATAGAAGCCAGTGGCGATTCTGCTGCAACATTTTTCTACTTTCTTCATAAAGAGTGGCTATAACTTTTCTAACTGAGAGAGCTCTTCTGGTTGTACATTCAGTTCCCCCCATCATTACTCTTCTCCTTTTCTTTTTTTCCTTCTTTTATATATACGCATCTTCTTCCTTCTCCCATTCTCATTATTTTGTGTGGCGCATATGTATCTGGTGCCCTTTGTACCAATATATATGTGATTAAATAAATAAATAAATAAAGAGATAAGAGACAATTTTATTTAACGAAATCTGACTACATTTTCTACTCTTACAAATCCAAATACAGAGAAGAGATTTTAGTGTACGAATCTACTAAGTAGACGATAAGCTACAGTTGAAAAATAAACTACTAACAAACTGAATATGATCAGTAACCTACTACTTTCAGTTGATTTTATAGAATTAGCCAATGACAACATGAAAACTGATTTACTCTACTGATTAATGATTTAGAAATTATTCTTCTGAACAATTAGTTTAAATTCAACGACACGCAATTTAGTTAGGCTATTTGTTTAGTTCGCGTCATCACCTTTCTCTCACAATGAATGTGTTTGAACGATGAGCATACACAAATAAACTTTTGCTTAATTACTGGGTTGTATTAACACTGGACAATGACTAGAGAGACAGGACACTAGTCAAGAGCTTAATCAGTAATGTAAGCGTATTGGACTGAAAAAAACATAAAATACGGAAAAAGTAATTAATCAATAAGAGCGATCGGTAACTATTTACTTTTCAAGTATATTCCATATGTACAATGATGGTAATATAAAACCCTTTATAAATACACCTCGTATATTTACCACAAAATATAATAAACAAGACATACCTGAGACCATGCTAAGCATGATCCAGCCATTTTTGTACCGAAATCAAACTGTAAACGCCATTGACTTAAATTCATAACATCCTTTAATAGAGTCAGATAATAAGAAAAACGGAAATAGGAATGAACAAATCCCAATATTTTATGAAAAACAAAACAAATGAAAATAAGCTAAGGATTTTCCGATAAAGAAATAAAAATTATCTTAATTTCACAACGGTAAGTATTTTGCTATTTTTTCTCATTAACTGATCTGTGAATATACCTCCAGAGAAGAGTTTATTTGTTCAATAAAATCCAACACAAAAACATACCATTGACATTCGTAACACAGTTTGGATTTTCCAACACTAATCACATAAAGACTTACGAGTACATTTGGAATTCTAAACAATAAACTGGTTTGCACGATTGAGGATTCATGACATTTGCGTTGAGTTCAGTTTTGAATGCGATTAAATAATGTATTAGATATATATGTATATATGTATTAGATATATATGTATATATGTATTAGATATAGGATTCGATTCGCATACATTTTTGTTTAAGCCATTTCTAAAACTCAATCAATTTTATTTTAATAAATTTAACTGATCGGACCCAATTAAAATACCAGAAGGTTAGATATAATCTAAATAACAGGATATAACTAGCATATTGTATAAGTTTTAGTCAGTTACCACTAGAATAAATGTCATAATTTGTGGTCCATTTCAACAACTAATGTATATTTCTAACATTTGACCGGTCAAACTATACGCCTTAGATGAACAGTCAAAGAATTTATTGATTAGTGTTATACTTCAGTTAGATGACTGATGCTTTTTCTAGACAAAAATAACTTTTTTTAATTATATGAATAACGATAAGAGCAAAGATAAACGAAAAATACAGTATTCATTGGTGATAACTGATATGATGTAGATTTAAGAATTTGAATGATCGTTGGTGAACGATTAATGTCAAAAATAGGACTGCTTTAAAAATGAACTAAGCTACTTTATAGCTAATGTGTATGCTTAACTTTATAAGGTTTGAAATCCTGAACTGCATGCAGAAAAGTGCTATATTAACTTGAACATTTAGTAAGTATCAAAGAGATTGAAGAGATCTTTACCGCTTTTTCTTATCTAATTTTTCTAAACATTCTGGTTATCGTATTACTTCCAATGAACTCAACAGTTAATTATAAGAAAACCGATTAGGAATTTTCGAAATTGCCATTACAATAATGCTTGTGTAGTCTAAAATGTAGTGGAATCCAAATATTAATCTGACAAAGATGCATGCATACCAGTGCTTCATAAATTCGCAACATGCCATCTGTAGAAATAGCAGCCAACTGAAGACCTAGATGTCTTGGAGCAAACTGTAGACCAGTCACAGAAGTACGTGGATCAACAAGATAGGCACGTCTTATCCAATTAGTGTTTGCTGACTGACTTCCATATGCAACGTTTGTTACAGTTGAAGGAGTTTGATTATTACCACCATCATTTTCACCACCACTAGTTATAGTCTAGGTAAAATATAAAAAAAGTAGGAATCAAGAGAAGGTTAGATCAAACACAAACGGAACTGGTACTTAAACTTAAAAACAAGAACACTACAACTTACTCTTACAGTATACAGTTAGGCTATTAATTTTGCAAAGATTTTATTTTTAACAGTCAATATGAGGAAATAAAACATTTAGGTGACTATATAGTTTTATTACATGTATGTGTATAAATGACTACAAAATTATAAGGAAAGAGTTAATTAGCTACAAACAGATTATATAAATACTCTTGATCAATAGCCAAAAATTCTATTACGTAATGTTTCTACTTTATATCGACTGCAAAAATCTTTATGAATACGTAAAATTACTTACTTGAGTGCCTGCTATTTCCTCCCATACAGCTATTGTACGATCGAATGAACAGGTAGCGATAACCTGACCGAATTCAGGATGTGCCCAAGTAACACGCCATGCTGATCCTAAATGACATCGCCATGAAGCAGTGCATACCCATTCTTCATTGTCTTTTAAATCCCAAATCTAAGAATTTATAAAAAATATTTTAACCATTAATGTAGAAAGCTTAAGAAATATTGCACTGTTTCCCCTACTTTAAAATATACCAATAACTGTGAGTAACCGTTTATCAGAAACAAAGTTGAAAATATGATAATACTTAACATAATATACACATGTGCCAACTACTAAGATATACGAGATGACAAAATGACGTATGGATTAAGGAAGAACATAAGACCATACATAATGTTTTCAAGAGTTGTCAATTCTTTCCGATTGCGAATTACCGTTTGTACCATATTTTTGATATAATCACCCGTATTTTGAATAATATTTAAAATTTAAAGTTGATTTTTGGTGTGCTGAAGCTGTTTAATTAGTTAAATGATTTTTAGCCATCCAGCTTTCTTATAGGCTTTGTCACCAGAGATATAAACAAACATGAGGAATGAAAATCAACTTCGTGAAAATACTACAAATACGACAGAACATAAATTCCCACTGAAGAACTACAACAGAGCTTATTATGCAAGCTGAATGGGTAAAAAGACATCTAACGTTCCACCCTCAAAACACACAAACCAACTCAATAGGCGAAACACAAAATCTCACAAATACACATGATCAAATAACACAAAAACATAACATAGAAACAACAAATAAATTACATCGGTGCCCATACAACGGACGCAAAAAGCAACTTTTAACAAAGAAAGGAGTAATCAATCGCTGCTATATAGTACAGTGATGGTCAGGAATTACCGGACATGAAATAAGACCAAGAACAAGACAATCAAGTGCAGAAACAACTATAGCGACCCGGTGGTTATGGGGTGCTTCCAGGTATGTCTCTTCTCCAGAAGAGCTTACCGGCTTCACCAACTATTTTGGCTGGAAGAGTAAGGCAAAGAATAAATCATACAACTAGGATACTAAATATACCAAAACGATATTTTGAAGAAAAATATCCAGATGGTTGTTGATATAGGATCCGATCATCACTTTCCGGTCAACAAGATGAAACTAAAACTCGAGAGGCACTGAACAACGGGGCGGAAAACATCACAAAAGTTTAATACGGCCTTTTTTCAAGATACCGACAGACTCAGCAAATTCAAGACAGCCCTCAGCAATAGGTTTCAGGCCTTTCACAATCTACTCAATGGAGAAGGAACTACCACGGAGAGCAACTGGAGAGTGATCAAGGAGGCAATCACTTCAACGTGTCAGGTTTTGGGCCACAAAAATCACCACCACAAGGAATGAATCACTGTTGATACACTGGATAAGATTCAAGAAAGGAAGAAAAAGAAGGCAGCAATCAGTATCAGCCGAACAATAACAGAGAAAGTCAAGGCACAAGCTGAATACACAGAAGCAAACAAGTTAGTCAAGAGGAGCATCAGGACCGACAAACGTAAACATGAGGAAGATCTAGCGACGACGATGGAAAAGACTGCAAGAGGAAACATGAGACAATTGTATGACATAACAAAGAAGCTCGCTGGAAATTACGGTAAACCAGAACGACCAGTGAAAAGCAAGGAAGGTAAAGTAATCACCAACATTGAAAAACAAAGAAACAGGTGGATAAGACACTTTAAAGAAATCTTGAATCGACCAGCTTCACTGAACCCACTCAACATCGAAACAGCACTTACGGACGTCCTAATCAAAGTTGGCCCGCAAACAATTGAAGAGAGCATCATGGCAATCAGACAACATTCTAGCAGAAGCACTGAAAGCAGACGTAGCAGTAACTGCAAGGATACTTCATTCTTTTCAGCAAGATTTGGGATGAAGAACAAGTACCAACAGACTGGAAAGGACTTCTGATCAAGATACCAAAGAAAGGTGATCTCAGGTGTGAGAATTACAGAGGCATCACTCTTCTCTCAATACCAGGAAGTCTTCAATCGGGTATTGTTAAACAGAATGAAAGACTCCGTAGGCACCCAACTTCAAGACCAACAGGATGGATTCCGTAAGGAGCAACCTCAGCAGCAGTAGGTCTCAACATGTACAAAGGGAAAAGCAAGATTTTCCGATACAATACAACATGCAAAAACAAAATCACACTTGACGGAGAAGCTTTGGTGTAAAAACCTTTACATATCTGGGCAGCATCATTGATGAACACGGTGGATCTGATGCAGATGTGAATGCACGGATCGGTAAAGCAAGAGTAGCATATTTACAACTAAAGAGCGTCTGGAACTCAAAACAGCTGTCAACCAACACCAAGATCAGAATTTTTAATACAAATGTCACGGCAGTTCTACTGTATGGGGCGAAAACTTGAAGAAGTACGGAAGCCATCATCCAGATACAGGTGTTTATTAACAGTTGTCTATACAATATACTTCGGATCGGTTGGCCAGACACTATCAGCAACAAGCTACTGTGGGAGAGAAGGAACCAGATTCCAGCGGAGGAAAAAATCAGGGAGTAGCGCTAGAAGTGGATAGGATACATATTGAGGAAAGCACACAATTGCATCACAAGACAAGCCCTCACTTGGAATCCTCAAGGTCAAAGGAGAAGAGGAAGATCAAGGAACACATGACGCCGAGAAATGGAGACACACATGAAAAGAGTGAACAAAAGTTGGATAGAACTAGAAAGGAAGGCCCAGGACAGAGTGGGTTAGAGAATGCTGGTCGGGAGCTTATGATTCATTAGGAGTAATATGCGTAATAACTCGTGCTGAGAATTCTATATTGTACCAGATTATAATATAGAATAAAGCCATTAATAATAATAATAATAATAATAAAAAGTAAGTAAGTAATACCTAAAGTATTTTGATCGAAAGCACAAAATTGTTTCGGTTTTGCGCAACCGACAGTCTTTAAAATATCAGAGATTTACAGAATAACATGAAATGAACAATTTTGTCATGAACAACAGTCGTATTTTAAACCAGTCAGTCGTAAATAACGCATTTGATAGCATGAGTGTGTACTGGTCCAAATTATTAAACCTCCATCAATACACTCAACTTGTTGGTTCCGTATTTTTAGCGAGTTAATTTTCTACGGGATGGGGTCGCTGACCCCATAACCAACCCTTCTCCTTTACCCAAGTTTGGTGCCGGCAGTAACTTTAGAAGAGCTACAGGCGGAGTTGGTCCCACCAAACGAGTAATGATTGAGCATAATTAATTACATATGAATTATAAATGACGACATACTTAAACAGTGTAATAAAAAGAAACAAATCAATAGCTAAATAATAAATGATGAATCTGTTCAAAGAAATATTAAAAATGAATCTATATATGACCCAGACACAAAAATGGGCAATAAACAAAGATGAATAAGGATAGCATGACTCGATGGTTGAGGCTTTCCAAGTGGAGATAATAAATATGAAATATAATTCAACCACTGGAAAGTTGTGTCAAACCACGTATTTAAAAAAAACATTGTAATAAGTTATTATCAATAATGCTTAGTAGTTGAATTATGACAAAAATATTTGTAAGATATGGTTACTATAGCAGTAAGCTCCTCAGTCATGCGTGATAACAATAACACAGGTAAGCGATAATAAAGGGAATTCAAAAGAACACTCCTTACTACCATGAAATAAAAGGTCAACAAAACATTATTAGTATAAACCACAAAAACAATGACAATAGGTATTAAGGAACAATTACGTTGAATAAAGAACTATTCAACTTATATTCCCCATGTAACAATAATAATAACAGCAATAATAATAATAATAATAATAACAATAATAATAATAGCAATAGTAACCTATTGAGGATTCAGTAATCTTATCAACACAGCGATATTATCACGTGAAAAGGGAAAAAATTACAACGTAAAGACAATAAGTAGTATGATGAGTCAGTAAAATGATATAACTATTTAGAAGAATAAGCTTAAATACTTAATGCTAAATTCAACACTGCTCCTTCTCTTTGATGAAATTAAACAAACAGATAAACACTAGTTGAAAGAATAAACAATTATACTGTCATATGAAAGTGAATCAACCAATAAACTACTTTCTACGATTAAAAAAAAAATTTATTTAGAAAATGTTAAGCAAGAAACTGAAATAAAGAGCGATGATTTCCTCATTTTGTGGGTAATAAAATATGTTAAACAGAATATTTTACATAATTATTCTGAGATTTATAAATTATAGATTATGTTGAGAAAGAGTTTTCCTCTTGCCTTGAATTTAACTGGGTGGTAACCTTAATCACAAATTAAATATCACCATCATCAGCGGAGATACACAAAAAAGTGAAGTAAAAGGATTTCAGATGAGTGCTTTTACTGAATAGTTGCACTTAAATTCAATACAAATAACCAAGGAAGACAGGCATGAGCATATGATATGGTACAGATCTAACGGAAGTGGTAACAACCAGAAAAACAAATTTTACAGAATCTGCGGAGATTGATCAGAATATGAAGTAGTGAATTGTCAGTGAGCCACGAAGGAAAGTTCACACGCCCTGAGTGTGGTCCCCGAGATGACAAAGACTCTCTCATCTCTTGCATGCTTTACAAATTTTTATTTTAGCTCTACTGACCTTTTCATGTAACTGGAAAATGTGGTAACTTGAACTGATGGGTTTCAGCTAAACTCCATTTAATGATTTATGTAGTCGATTGATGGTTTAAAATGGCACTCTGATTTAAGCTATTGATCTTCTTTCATCAAATGAATTACATTCAAATTGTTATTTAACTCTGTCTAATTATGCTTAGAAATAATAAGCGAAAACCTGGTCAGACTATTATTATACTGGTTGTACCACAAATAAAATAGTTAAGTGTTATGAGATCGGTTTGAAAACTAAATTGAAATTAATAAACACGAGGAAACAAAAACTAAAAATCTTCCAAACGATGCTCTTATCTACATTATGATATGCATTGCTTGAAAATAGAACTTGCATATGTCATTAAAATTCTACGGTTTTAATTTTAAAAAAGGGAAAATTATTTTATAAATGTTCTGGGATGTAGTGTCATTATTTAGGAATATGTGTTCAGAGCTTTTGTTTAATACAAAATAATTTGCAACTTTTAGAGAGTATATACACGAATTTCTTAGATTCATGCCCCCCTATAACCAGGTAAAGTAGAAGCCTTTCAAAAGCATTAAGAAACATGTATAGAGATGGTACTTATGTGAATTTATTGAATGTCAGACGGGAAAGTCGATTGGCAGGAATGATTGCTTTCCAGAAAATTAACTACTCACAGGACCCCACAAAGTAGTAATAAATGGAAAGGATAATACGATGATTGACACGTAGTGTGAGCAGTATGAATGGTTCTAACCCATCAGTTCGACTTTTATTTATTAAGTTCCAAGTTGGAATCCCGCGTCACTTGTGTTTGAGCGACCGGATAGTAGAATTAGCTGTCAAACTTAAAGTGTAGTTCATACACGAGTACATGGTTATTCTATACTTTATCACAAACTTTAAGAAACTCTGAAATGGAAATACTCAGTGATGTTGATTCAGTCCCCAAAATAATTAGGAAATCAACACGAAACCAAAGAATAATAACAAGAACTTGACCTGATAAGAAGTATATAACAAACGGAAAACTGTCTATGACTCAAAATACGGTGAATCTGAGCCACTGAGATCAATAACAAGGGATGCCTCTTGGGATATTCAATCACTGACTCCTAAGAGCTTATTCAAAAAGTTTCTTACTCAAAACAAACTGACAAGCAGTGATTATAAACTGTACATATAACGAATATTTATTTAAAAATAACATTCGAATAATTAAACTTACTGATGATCCGCCCCCAAATGCCCTGGTACGGCCGAGAGTGGGGAGAGTCCACTCTCCCTCTCGAAATGCTCTCATATGGCCAGCGAATATATAGCCTCTGCCAGGGAAGTCCTACTCACTGCCTTCTCGTGGCGGGGGTGTTGTTCACAAAAGTGAGAGGACGAAAAGCGAATGTCCGGCGCTTTAACCGGGTTGGTGGACATGGAGGGTCCACCTAGGGGAGTTGGAAAACCCTGATTCCAAACCAATGGTGCACATGAGCTCCAGTATCCTGAAAGAACGAATAGCGTATGAACCAACTGTTGGTCATCGACTACCATGGGACTGCATCTCCTTACGATGCTCCACTGCCTTGTGGATTAGACCTTTAGGTCAAAGGCTCCGGTTGTACCCCCCTAAGAAAACCACCTGCTTCAGTCTGGGCACCTGGGCAGTATCTCAGCCCTCACACAAATCGAATGAGATTTGTGAGGCGCATATTTATCTGGTGCTTCCTTGTAACAATATTTATGTGTTTAAATAAATAAAAAATAAAACTATGCACTGATTTCGAAAACTTAACATTTATCTCACTAATCATTAAAAACTGCCTACATGACATAATCCTAATAAAATAGTAACAAATTTTGTATAAAATCATAAGAATTTCTTAAAACAATATACACGTACTTTAATCATTTGATCACTACTACAAGTTGCCATACGTCGACCATAGAAATCATAGGCTACATCATGAATTAAATCAGCATGATTAGCATGAATACTGCTTGACACAAACATTTTTTCTATTCAAAAGAAAAAATAATCCTGAGTAAGACTAGTACTGAGTATGCCACAAAATAGAACTAGATAACAAATGAAGAGTATGATACGATATTATGAACGATAAACATCAACAATCGAATCAAGACAATATGTTAAATAAACCATATCATGAGGTCATATAAGAATGCACACTGAAACTACTAAAAACCTTTGACGAAAATACAAATGTGTACAACTAAAGAAAACCAGTGCATGCATAAGTGCACATTCTCAAAATATTTCAAGTGAGAATCCTTAAACAGTGAGGTAAGACTTCGAAAAATTTATTCAAACAGATGTCTAAAAACAACGTAGTATTGTGCAAACTCAAGACTTTAAAACATGAAAAAGTGCATTATAACTTGTCATATTAAAAGCTTATTTTGGTGCTTTACACTCGAAAGTCAAACTACGATGAGTCAAGTTCAGAATAAATAGGAAATATACATTCAAGTTGAAGTAGCCATTTCATAAGGATACGAGAGCCCAATAACAGTTGAATTCATAAAATTATATATATATATATATATATATATATATATATATATATATACTGCCGAGTTTACTCCAGTTAAGATTTTGGTTGAGGACAGTCAAATCTCTCAGTCACAATATTGCATTTGACTGTCACTAGGTTGCATCCGTTTGCTGTCATCGCTGGTGGACATTATTTCAAGACCGCTTGCGACGCTCTTCAACATGCCCCTTACACGCGCTCAACTACCTAGAGACTGGAAAGACGTTATAGTTAGTCCTATATTTAAGGATGGTCAGAGACGGATCGTATCTAACTACAGGCCGGTCAGCCTGACCAGCATAGTCGTTAAGTTACTTAAAAAGATAATTCAGGTTAAGTTACTGAGTCACATAGATGCATATAATCTGCTAACTTCCGAGCAATACGGGTTTCGGAACAAGCGTTCATGTTTAACTAACTTACTTATTGCGAGAGAGGATTGGACAGCAACCCTAGATAACGGCCCGTCTGTCAATGTGATATTTATAGATTTGACAAGGTTTCACACTTAGGTCTTATGCACAATCTCTCGAGCTTTGGAATAACAGGTGCTGCACAGGAATGGACAGGAAACTTCTTATGTGACCGCATACAGAGAGTGAGGGTCAATGGAATGCTATCTGAATGAAAGCCGGTCAAAAGTGATGTATCCCAAGGCACCATATTAGGCCCTCTACTTTTCCTTTTCTATGTCAATGAATTACCTCTATTGCTTAAGTAGTCGACATTATTGTTTGAGGATGATGTCAAAATCTGGAGAACAATAAGGAGTGAGGCTAATCGTTGTCATCTGCAAGCTGACTCAGACGAATTAGTTAGACGGGCTCATGATTGGGGCTTGGAAGTTAATTCTAGGATTAGCGTGCTCATGCACACCGGGCACGGTAATAGTTACCATCATACCATTAATGGTATATCTTTTCCTGGCGTTCAATAACATAAAGACTTAGGAGTAGCTATAAGTCACGACTTGAAAACTACTACGCATTGCAATGCGGCTGCTCCCAAAGGTTATCATGCGCTATGGTCACTTTGCCGAGCATTTAAATGCTTTGACGAGATGTTTCGAATTTTAATTAGTATTTTTAATTATGATTCGAGTGTTGATATGTCTTATCTTTTTGCTCCCTCCAGCACTAATAATCTCCGAGGTCATAGCAAGAAGGTTCACAAACCACAATCTAATAAACTAAAGCTGGGGTCCCGTTCTTCTCGTCGAGCGGTCAATGACTGGAACGCATTACCCGAACAAGCGGTATCAGCCCCATCAGTGAACATTTTCAAGAAGCTGAACCTTCACTGGTAGGAAATCTGTCAGGATTAACACAGGTTCATCAACCTACTATCCTTACTACTGAAGACACCCGGATAAAAAAATTCGGGAAATGCAAACGTGATTCACGCAAATGGTTCGTTTTCCTCATATAAACCATTCTTTAAAGCCGTTACAGCAAATTTAGTCGCTCGAGGAATTTAAAACGAACTGACGAGGTACTTAGGCGATCGTGGACTAGTCAGTGTCGATTTCAGAGAGTAATGAACAATCCGTGCGGAAACTATTCAACCTACATTTAGGCTAGAGGCATGTTTCGTGGGAAGTAAACCATTTGGTGTGAATGCAGGTGAAAATGAGGCAACTTGGGGTTATTCTGGAGGGAAATGTAACTGAAGACTAAGGTTTAAATTTCAAGATATTTCCCCTCGACAGGAAGATGATAGAAAAACTTTTACTAATTCCTTTAGGATGAGGAACAAAGGAAAAATATTGATACTTTTTAAACTTCACCATTATCTTCCCTTTTCGATTTATTTGGGTACCTAGGTGATAGATAACTGTTTTACTCAGACGTGACAATTTAATGAAGACTATTAAGTCTTAAGCAGTTGCCGTTTTAAAATTTGCTGTTAATTAACTTACGTGCAGATCCTGAAGACGTGACCAACTTTATTGGGTAGGACCCTAGAAAGCCATGAGTATCAACGAAGCGCGAATGTTTAAAAAGAGCACTGTCAAATAGTCCAAATGGTTCAAATGGCTGTGGACGGAAGAAGCGTTGGCTTAACGGGCTTCCGTGTCTAGTAGCAGTGGATCACCAATACCTCCAGGCAAGAACCAAGGTATATGAACGATAATAGAGGGGGGAAAAATCGGTAAAACTTAATAATATGTTATCCATAGTCCTTAAGAATAGTTCAAGTTTCCTCTTAAAGGACTCCTAGGAAATCGCTTGGACCAGCTCAGTCGGCAGCGAATTTCAGTATCTGACAACTCTTAAGGAGTAGAAGTTGTGTCTACAGTTCGTTCTGCTATGTTGGATCTCCAGTTTATGGGTGCTACCCCTTGGATTAGTATTGTGACTAAGCTTAAGTAGATGTCTAAGGGGATCACCAGAAGTGTTAAGGATACTGTAATTTGGCAGATTATCCACAGAGCTGAGTCATTTCTGCTTCAGATGGTTGAACACTGAGTAGTTTATTTTCAAGATCAAGGCCGATCAATATGGAATAACTTGTCCCATGCTCTTAACCAGGCAACTGTTTTGTAGCTTTCTTCTGTATCTCCCTAGTTTTTTCATAGACTACATTAATTTTGTCAGATTTCACTTGTTCACTGACAGTTACCACTAGACCATTTCATCTAGTTATTGAGAAGTGAGACGAGCCGGGCTGGGTGTTAAACGCAAGGTGACTTCGATGTCGCTTAGGGAATCACGCCATTCCCGTTCAACCAGAGCAGGCTTCATCATCATCATCTTCAGTCTCCAGGTCCAATGATATTTTGATCCAACACTACGAAACTGTACTGAGATTAGGCTCTTTTCAATATTATGGTCAAAATATTTTACGAGTATAGCCAAGAAAAACTTGCCAGTGGTCGTGGTGAATAGCATGTTTTCAACTCCAAGTAAATGTAGATGACGGTGAGATTACAAGACATCCTTATAATGACAGCTGAATAAAACTGAATCCTAAATGAACAGAGAAATCTCTTGTGAGCACATACCTTGGAAATGGTAATTATGGTAATGTAAACTCACTTTACTCACTTAAAGTTTTGGAAGTAGCGAAGAGGGGTTGTAATACTCATATACTTGGTAAACAAGGTACCCGAGGGGGTGGGAATACCGATCTTGTTCGATCAAGACAATATCAAACTTTTTGGCACCTAAATCTCCACATTGTCACTTCGGCACTGGTTACCTATGTTTCTGGATTTAAAGCTTATGACTGAACTTTGGAGTCGTAAGAATGTCTAACGAAAAGAGCTGTATTCAACATAGTTGTCGGTATTCGCTGTATCAGTCAATGACTTACTTACGTCTGTTACCCCTAATCAAGGGACATAGGCCGCCCACCACAATTTTCCATCAAACTTAGTCCTGGACAATTCTTTCCAGTACTTACCACTTTCCACTCTTCCTTTTCATGTCTGCTTACAATTCTCGACATTGTGTGTTCTCTGACCTTCCTCTTTTCCGTTTCCCTTCAGAATTCCAAGTTGGTGTTTGCCTCGTGATGCAGTACAGTGATCTCCTCAATATATGTCCTATCCAATTCTAACGCCGTCTCCTAATTTCCAATTCATTTGAAAGCTGGTTTGTTCTCTCCTACAGTAGACTGTTGCTGGTGGTATCCGGCCAACGGATACTAAGTATCTTGCATAATCAACTGTCTGTAAATGCATGTGCCTTTTTGATGATGGTTGTCGTAGTTCTCGAACTTTCAGTTTCATACAGTAGAACTGACTTGACATTCGTATTGAAAACTGTGACGCTTATATTGGTTGACAGTTGTTTCGAGTTCCATATGTTCTTCAGTGGTAGGAATGCTGTCCTTGCTTTGCCAATCGTCATCTTTACTTTTGCATCAGATCCTCCACTTTCATCGATGATGCCAACTAGATGGGTGCGTGTAAGTTTCCACCTATTCCAGAGCTTTTCCATGAAGTGTAACTGGGTGGTGCTATACGTGCTGTACTTGTGAATCGTGCTGTTTTCCTTGTACACTTTTAGGCCTACTGATGCAGAGGCTTCTGCTACACTGGTTGTCTTCATCCGCATTTGTTAGTGTGTATGGGATAAAAGAACTAAGTCCTTTGAAAAGTTCAAATCGTCTAGTTGCATAGAATCTGCTCATTGTATTCTGTGCTTTCCTCAGGGTGTCTAGGTCTTCATAAACCACTCAACCACTGGAAAAAAGAAAAGAAAGGAGAGCAGGAAGCCTGATCTGACTTCCATCTTCACTTGAAATGCGTCTGTCAGCTTTACTCTATGCAAAACTCTACAGTGTGGTCCGTCGTATGAATTCTGTATGATGCTGACGATTTTCTTAACTACTCACTCTATAGAGTCGAGGAAATTTCTATTATGTTCTATTGTCTACACTGTCAAACGCCTCCTCATAGTCAATGAAGTTGATGTTTAGTGACGAATTCCACTCAACTGATTGTCCAACGATGATCCTTTATGTCATAATTCGGTCTGTGCACGACCGTTCCTTACGGAATCCAGTCTGCTGATCTCGATGTTGGGCGTCTACTGAACTCTTAATTTGGTTCAATAACGCTGATAGAACTTTTGCTGGTACCGATGGTTGTGTGGTGCCCCTGTAGTTATCACATTTGCTCAGATCTCCTTTCTTTGGTATCTTGATGAGATGTACTTCCTTCCAGTCCATCGGCACTTGTTTTTCCGCTCAAATCTTTTTGAATAAAACATTGAGCATGCTTTCAGTTACTTCCATGTATGACGGGGTCTTTCTTCTGTGGTATGGGGTTGCTTACTCCATGCTCAACCCTCATTCTTTGTGTGGGCTTGGGGCCGGTAGTAACTTTAGAAGAGCTACAGACGAAGTTACCAGTCAATGAACGCATCTTAATTGTCAAATTGAACGAATTCTCGCGTCATTATTCACTCACTAGTTCTTGTTTGACACCAGGGGATAGTTAATAACACTGTGTTTCGTCCTTGATCATTACGTGGATACGCCCATCCCAACACTGGTCACATAATATCATCATATTTCATATTTTACTTACCGCCCTTTATGTAAGTAGCACTATTATTAATTTGCGAAATTCCATCTATAGAATCTTTTAGGCGATATCCTTCTATGCACTATATAGTGCCCTCAAAAATACAAGGTATAGAATTCCAGCCACCTATAAAAGAACCGGAGAATTCCGTATATCATGTTGTGGCAAACAGTTTTTGTAAACAATAGCCTAGTAGTCTTGTAGTAGTGTAGTGGACAGAACCCGAGTGTGAACAATCGAATTCATTTAAGCACGAATTACAGACTATCTCACTAAATTCTGTTAACCATACTGTAAACAGTTAATTTTCAAAATAATTATCAATTGTCTTAATATTAACTGTTCTTTCTGCAAATATCAGTTCGTCTTCTCTTATTTCATTGTTCATGAATTTCCGTAACGAGTGCGCTTCATTCCTGTTCGTTCCTTATCGATTTTCTGCCGAAACACATTCTGTGTCTGACCATAGTCATATACTAATTGTGTGGATATAAGTATACGACACCACAGTAGTTCTTTGTATGTGTTCCCAAGTGCATCTTTAAAATTTTGACAATGATATTTTTTCAACTTATGTGGGGTCATCAAGAAGGCTTCAGAATCTTATATCTACATTCTCGGGTTGATGGATTTATGAGGTCTCTCATATGCGTTTTTTGCTAATTTGGCGTATGCGAAGTATGTTCTTCGTACATTCCACATGCTCAGTCTTAACAATGCACATAATTCCTCGGAAACACTTTGTCTCTACAGGACCTATGGATTAATAGTGATATGAAAGACTATGAAAAAAATAATTTTGACGCACTAACTCGTTTCCATCCGTAACACAGAGCCGTAAAAGGGGATAAATCCCTGAAAAAAATTGTTTCATAAGTCTTTCAGACTGATATCAACTTCATTCGTTCTATCAGTTGCATCGCTAGCCGAAAGTGTTTGATTAATCAGTGCATCTTTCCTGTAAACCAATCATTTGAGATACCACACATCTTCATTTCTCAGCTGATCATTTAAATATTCTTTTAAATCCTATCACCACCAACTCCTTACACTGACATCATGTCAACCAGGCAACTGCCACTGATGAGCTCGACATACTCTGGTGCACCAGAGTAAATTTTTCGCGAGTTTGAGACTCTTTTATAAATTAAATCTTTCTTATATCGTGCCATTTAGAAAAAGAACTGTTACGTCTGTAAGTTGAACGCTATATTCAGATCCTAAGCTATTCTGATAACCCCAGGCTAGAACTACACAGCGACTTGAACACCAGGGAGAAGACTCAAGTATGAGAAAAATACTTTACTGCAAGGATCATTTATGCACAGAAAATACAGGGATTTTAAAGTAATTAAGAGACTTTGAGTTTACATAGCAACAGCGTGTTGATCAGCCAATCAGGATCTCGTTATTTTAGTAACATAACTTCTGACTAATCGCTGATTGGTTGGGGCTCTTTATGAGCCTCTGGAGGCTCTGTTAGAGTTCTCTGTAATCCGACTCAACAAGAACCATCTACATAGTTTCGGGGGTTTAGTGACCCACTACTTCCGATACTCCTTACTCACAGTTTACTGTTTTACTGGTTCTCAACTACATGATCATCGAAAGCGAATGCAAGATAACTGAAAGCCAAAGATGGTGAACGTTAGGACAGAATCGAAATAGCATGGCTCTACCATTCAGGCGTGATCACCGTGTAGCTTATTCCTTTTCATATTAAGCATATTATTTTATCGCTAGCCTAAATGTATTTTTCAGAAATGCTAAACTGCATACTGCTGATTACCAACACAGTGAGAGTCAGCATATACAATGGTGTGACTTCCATGCAAAACCTTGTATATGGCGAAGTTCACGAATGAGATTAGGCCTAGCAACGGTAAATGCACTCCTATCGACTGAGACCATTAACCTTATGTTGGTGAGACCGACCAAATAAACGCAACTTGTCATCGATTCCCATATTCCTTTTAATCATATCGATTCGTTCCTACTTGTGTTAACCCATTACTCTACTGGTCTGCTGGTTGACGCTCACTCGG